CGTCATACAGAAAAGCAAATTCCTCCAACACAAATCCAAACACAAAAGAACAAGTAACTTCATTATACATTCTCTGAGGACAAGAGAAATTATAAAAATAGCAAAATTGTGTCACTGGAACAGAATGTAAGACAGAATCCGCCTTGAACACACACACACAAAAACACCCAAGAAAATCCTCCAATTATCATCAGTGAAAGGCAAAAATTGCCAAAAAAAAAAAATCATTATGACAACAGTTTTAGTACACCCTAAACTTGGGAACCACAGAAAGCAGCTACCATCACGCCTTTTTTCACCTTGCTGTTCCTTAGCCCCTCTCAAGAGACAGGGCCAAACCCACAGCCAGAGGCAGGAGCTATGCCAGCTGCTACTACCGCTTCAATGGATATTGGAAAAGCCGGTGAGACAAGGATAATTAAGGGCATGTGCAAGCTCTGTAGGAACCCTACATGACTATCAGCAGCAACAAGCAGGAGAAGAGGCATATTGAACAGCTGAAGTTACTGGTAATAAATCAAGATTACCTTGGTTCAAACACTTTGGATAACAGAGACCATCTCTCAATAGTTGTTATTTTTTCTGTTTCCCAAATTGCCATTTTTAGAGTTTACCAGCCAGTTTCAGCAAAGCCAAGTCTTGACTGATGTTACGTCAGAGGCTAGCCAAGATTTATTCAGATCAGCCATTAAAAATTGATGTGGATGTCTCAAGAGAATTATTTGTATCCCATACCAAGCACAAACTGCAAAAACTCAAAATTTTTAGTCATTACTACTTTTTTTATTCCTTAAATGTCAATCAGTTGACATTCCTTTTAATACGTAGGGTCAAAAGCCATATATATTTTTAAGTCCAGCATTCTGAAATCAAATTTTGTGGAACAAAACTAAGAGTGTACAGCACCCTCTAAAGTGAAAAGCTGCCTCTTAGCAGACCTGGTCCAGTTGTAGAAAAATAAAATGTCTGTTTTCAGTCAGCCAGTCACTCCACATATAATTCACAGTGTGAAAGTTATATGGGACAGACAGTAAAAAACAAAGTACAAACAGCATTGTTTCATCTAAACTAATACAGTTTTCCAGTCAGTAGAGTTCAGATTCTAATTTCAATTCTGAAGCCAGAATTTGTCTGCCTGATAAATTTTACAGACCTTTCCCCATCTCCCCGCAGCTCTTTATTTGAATTGCAATGTATGTATCAGTAGAAGACACAGTAAATTTTACAGTGGTGCTTGTACGTGATAAGTACATTTATTTGCCCTAATATTTGCCCTCAATTATTAGGACAGGGTTGTAAATTCTTTTAAATTATCTATTTGTGGTTTTGGATTACAACATGCAAAGCAGGCTAAAAAAAATTTAAGTTTCTGTGTCTGCATGTCAAAAGACAAAAAAAATTATTTCAATCATTTCTTAGTTAAATCTCAAATACTCAAGTTCCTCCTGAATATTCTATTCAATATTATTGAATAACAAGTTCCTCTGTCTGTGTAACAAACAAAATAGGAAATCGTTTGCAGCCTACAGCAATCTGCCTTCACATTGGGGCAGTCACAAATGACCTGTAAGGCAAGATGCATTTCAGTTCTCAACCATAAACCAAAACTGAGTTTTGCAGCAAGAAGATCAAAGATTACAAATCATAATTCATTATTTTAGTTTCAAACATATTTTCATTTCTTCAAAAAGTGCTATTTCCAATGCACCCTTTTAGATGGGTGGCAACAATCCCTTCAGCAATTGGTGAAGACATGCAAAAAAGCCCGCTTTTCTACTTCCCTGACTTGTTTTTGTTACAAAGCCCTCAAGAGAAATAAATACATCAGTAAAGAGGAAGGTCTTTTTGGCAACATGTGCAGTAAGTATTCCTTATGTAATAAGAGTTTAAGGAATGATTAACAGAAGAGGAACCTCATGTTGAATTACAATAAGCAGATCAGAAAGGCTGCATTTGTATACATGAACAACAATACAATCACAGCAAAAAAAGATGTAGGCTTTACTGGGAAATACAGCTTACAACATACCTCAACGATTCCTCTCTCAGGCTACAAAAAGCTCTAGACTTCTAAAAACGTCTTCCTTTTACTTTCTCTCTCTCTCTCTTTTTTAAAAATTCTCACTTGCTATTTTTTGGCACAAACTCCAAGAATTTCTAGCCAAAGAACTACCAAAGAACTATTCTAGACCACAGTGCTATTTCAGACATATTTTCCTTTAAAATAAAAAGACAGAAATGAAATTGATTTTCAGAAGACGAAAGCCTTTAACAAACCATCAGTGAAGTTCTTCTCAAATCAATAGCATCCTTTCCCATCAAGCTTCTTCACAAATTTGATCAATTAAAACCAAAAAAAAATTCTAGGATCATATATGTGAACTTGTATTTGACAATCATTTAATAAAAAAAAAAAAAGGACCATCTATTACCATTCTGTCTCAGCACATTCTGCAAACGTAAGTGCCTGTTCCTGAATTTCAGTGAAAGTGCTCACACAGCAGAAATATAAGAATTCAATAATTCTTGTCTTACTTATTAAAAGTGCTTACCCCAAGTACTAAATATATGCCACAGGCAGCAATTGATCTTACAGCACTTCAGTTAAGTGCAATATATTTAACACATAAAGAAGCCCAGTTTCATCACGTAGAGAAGGATTCAATGTTAGCAGGTAGCAGCTGCCAGCACTTGGATACTGTTATTAGAAATGGTTTAGGCAGTTTATACACACAGCATTGATGTGCCTTCTGGTTCAGGCATCAGTAGCTAGATCACGCACTTGAATCACTCTGTGAAAGGCACCTTAAAATAGAGCTGGGGTCTGAGATCACTTTTATCACTGTAAATGCAAAGCAGTTTCATTGACTCTTATGTTTAAAGTCAATGTGCTGGATTTACTCCCAGACTCCTCTGGGAGTCCAGAAGAGACAAGAGTGACACATACCAACCAACAAAAAAAAACTGAGCAAAGGTGAGTATTCTTTGGAAAGGCAGATTGGTGTAACCCATACAAAGAGACAAAAGCAATTAATTTCTTACACATGGAAAAAATATTCCGGTTTTCCATAGCACCGTACATTGCTCCCACTCCGTATATTTTTTCTATTTGAAGAATACAAAGTGAAGAAGATTAAGTTCTTCCTTGGCTAGGCCTGCGCAGCTACCCAGAACAAAATGGGAGCCATTAGCTGATACAACTAAGAGGAAAACATGGTGCAGTAGTTGCGTGTGTTCAGGTTGTGTGCGGCACATTGAACCCGATGAGCAGAAAGACTTTCCCCTCATCTGACCTAGTTCTGTCAAGATTCACACATGGAGATAGTGGGTGTAGAGGTGACACATGCAGTATCTTTAAAAATTTTGGAAGGCAACAACTCACAGTGAAGAATACCTAAGACCCTGATGGGGAAATGAAAGCTAGCTGAACTCCAGAAAATTCAGACAAGATATTAGCAGGCTGCCCAGGACTGTAAGCGTACAAGAAAGTGAACAGATTAGGGCCAAGCCATTTTACAAAAATGAAACAATGCTGGAAAAAAGTGCCAGAAGGATGGTTGGTTTCAGGACAAAGCTACCTGATGCTGCAGATACGTCCTATTTGAAAGGAACTACAAATTTAAAGAATCTTCTTCCCCCCCCCCCCCTTTTTTTTTTAAGCAGCATGTAAAAAATACTGTAAAAATCCAGTATAATTGCAAAAACATAATCCAATTTGCTGGATTGTGAACTGCAGCTGACTGCACTGTGACAGATGCAGCATAGAAAGGCACTGTCCCCAAAGAGTTTTCACACAAAATCAACAAAGAATAGCAGAAATAAGGAGAAAATGATAACGTTTCTCAAAGAAACATTAATTTTTCATTGGATTATTCTAAAAAATAAATATCGATTATCTCCAACTCACTGTATACCCAGCCATTGGTAGCTGGGTAGATTCTGTACAAACAGTGGAACAGGTTGCCCAGGAAAGCTGTGGAGTCCACCCTTGGAGCCATGAAAAGTCCAACTGTGCATGTCCCTGAGCAACCTGCTGTAGATGACCCTGCTCTGAGCAGGGGAATGGACTGGAGAATGCCCAGAGGCCCCTTCCCACTCCAGCAATTCCCTGGATCAGATTAGAATGGATTTCTGAGAAGTTATTTAAGGATGACTGGTTTTCCACAAAATGAATTGGAGAGGGTGCTCTACAGACAAGTTAAAGCCTTGAAAAAAGCAGAATACAATTGTGAATGAAGTCTACAAATATTTGTTAAATCAGCTGTACTGGTGGACAGAAGAGGACCTTGGACAATACCATGCAGGAAAAGCATTGGTCACCACTGATGAACAGATTCATGGAGGAACCTGACAGTGAGGGGAAGCAAAAGGAAATTCACAGTCTGGAAATGAATGGCCCAAAAAATCTAATCACCTACTTAAATCTAAAGTTAAAAAATATACACAACCGTGGCAGGTGTCTGAGGCAAATCTTAATCCAACATAGTCAATACTCCAGTCTTTCTGATCGTATCACTAATTTTCTTCACAGTTCCCAGGCAAGCCACTGTGTCTATTAGGGCAGTGCAACAAACAGGAATATATAAAAGGTCCCCCTATATAAAAGGGATAGCAGTCTTAGGTCAAAGGTGACCAGTGACCTTCCTGAAGAAAAAAAAAGCTCTTGGTGAAAGAAAGACGTGACAGAATTGGGAACTACGTAAGCCACCTCAGTACTCATTTACCAAAATTTAATGGGCTTTGACCTAGGATTACAAAATAACTGAAACAACACAAGGGTCTTGCTCAAAACATACCACCAAAAATAACTTCAAAAAGCGTGCTTTACTTTGTCAAACCAACCTCCAAAACCAGAAATTCAAAACAAGAAACCATTTCTTCCTCTGTTACCTACTCTTCCCAATTACACCACAGGACTATGGTAATTACTACATGCCATTATATAACACATATATGTTCTTGTCCACCCCAAAAGAGAAGTTTTGTTTGTTACCTCTTACCGACAGTTATTTTGACAGTTCTTTTCTGAGAGTCCATCCTCATCTTCTCCCATAATATCCACTGCCGAAAATATCAGTGCAACCAGAATTGCAAAGCAGCATACCAGCGCAAAGATCACAATGCATCTTTGCTGGGACTGAAAGAGATTAAGATTAAAAAAAAAGTTTTAATGGCGTGAGCACATTCTAGTCAATAACCTGAGAGACTAAAACTTTTACATAAGATCTAAAATTCTTTGAAGGTCTTTCTGCCATAGCTGTCAAAATGAAACACACCTCAGGATGAAAACACTCTCAAAACTGTCCTTCAGGTATCACCTTGAGATGTATTTTAAATCTCTCACATTGTTAAATAATTCATGTCACAAATAATAGTAATAATTTAAACTGTTTTCTGCTTGTACCACAAGGAAAGCATTATGCATTAAAATAGTGATTCTTACATTAACTACGTATTTTCTGATTGCGCCTCACAGATGAAGTACACACTTAGGATGGCACTCAAAAGTCTTGAGAGTTTTGTTGTGTTTGGCTGAAATAAAACATGTCATTGCAAGAACACTGAAGAGCAAAGTCATTTTTTTTATTGCTACACAAAGTAACTTACTATGATTGTCACAGCAACTGAGACACTTTGGCAAGTCCTTGCCCCACCGTACTTATATAAGGAAAACAAATTCACAGATGATAGATGGGGTTCAAGGAAACAATGGGAGACTGTTGCTCAATATGAGGGCAATGCCCTCCGTATCTCAGATTAAATATTAAGACATGGCATAGCATGACCTTATTCTACAATATGAAATCCTGCAGTACTAAATCAGATACAACTGTGTAAATCTCCTAAAGACAATCTCCTGACATGCAATTTACATAACTGCATGAATGTAAAGTATATTTTATTCTGAAACCAAATGTTCAAATGCGTATTTTTCTACTGAAGAAAATTTGCACAAAACCACACGTTTTTTTTATAAAAAAATATAAAAGACTAACTTCTGTTGCCATAGTTATTTCCTTAATTTTCATTATTGCCCTGTAATTAAAATTTCACATAAAGAAAAGCTTTATAATTTTTTTATTGCTACACAAAGTAACTTACTATGATTGTCACAGCAACTGAGACACTTTGGCAAGTCCTTGCCCCACCGTACTTATATAAGGAAAACAAATTCACAGATGATAGATGGGGTTCAAGGAAACAATGGGAGACTGTTGCTCAATATGAGGGCAATGCCCTCCGTATCTCAGATTAAATATTAAGACATGGCATAGCATGACCTTATTCTACAATATGAAATCCTGCAGTACTAAATCAGATACAACTGTGTAAATCTCCTAAAGACAATCTCCTGACATGCAATTTACATAACTGCATGAATGTAAAGTATATTTTATTCTGAAACCAAATGTTCAAATGCGTATTTTTCTACTGAAGAAAATTTGCACAAAACCACACGTTTTTTTTATAAAAAAATATAAAAGACTAACTTCTGTTGCCATAGTTATTTCCTTAATTTTCATTATTGCCCTGTAATTAAAATTTCACATAAAGAAAAAAAGCTTTATAAAGGAATGGGAAAGTGGGAAAGTATATGGGAAAGCAGGAAAAGTGTAAGGGAAAGGAAGGAACGTCATGCCGTCACGCTCGCAGCTGAAAACCAACTTCATAGTATTTCCATTGTTCCTGACATTTCATTTAAGAGGTAATAAGATTCAGAGTAATGTTTTCCAGTATGTGTAAAGAAAAGGCCTGACTTTTTTCTTTTAAAATAAGCTTCCAAAACTTCCAAACCAGTGTACATCCCAGAAGAAACAAGCTCCTGCATTTCAGAACAAATCAGATATAAGCATTTTATTTCAGTCTGTGAAAATCTGAAACAAAGCAAACAACTTCTTCAGACAAACAGGAACAACTTTTCTGAAATTTAGTGAGAAATGTATCCTTTTACCTAACAGTAACACGGAATGCGCCACTTAGGTTATATGCGTATTTTAAATATAAGGCATATTAGACACTTTTATACATTTTAAATATATGTTTAAATCTGTGTTTTCTAACATGTTACCTAAAATCTTACAAGAATGCAGCATAAGAAAGTCTTGTTCAAGCATTTACAAAGCCTACTTCTGAAATAAATAAAATTTGGCCCTTTTTTTTCCCCCGCTGCTAGGTATAATCTTGGCAACGTATAAAAAGAATCAGAAATGACTGCATTTGGGTGTCCAGAACTAAGGCTGCTGTCAGACGCACGGTAGGACTTAAGAGAAAAATGTTAAAACATTGCCTCATACTACTGGCAAGAAAAACTAAGAAGTGCCAAAGATAAAGAGATATTCAGATCTGGGACACTGCTTTATGCCATTTCTTCATCAGGACGGCTCACACTCTTGCTAAGATGACCATTGTCTCATGCAGATTTTTACAGTTCTGTAAGTGTATTTGCAGAAACTGTTTGATGCAGCTTCTTCCAAGTGCTGAGCATATCACCATGGCAGCAAGATAGCAAAGCTACTCCTATACCAGCGAGCCAAACAGAGCCAGGGCTCGTTCTCCAGCCCCTAAGAGCAGGCGATGTGACCCAGCACAGCTCGCAACACTAGCGTTCTTTATCCTCCCAAAACAGGGTAACTGCAGCCATTCTACTCCCTGGGAACAGTCCTGAGTCCATATTTTGGACAAATTTGTAGCACCAAGCATCCTAGCTACCGCACAGTATAAATGACTTTGTGCCATTGCCGCAGGGAATAACTCCCATCTTCCTGCTACATCACCATGCAAGCAGCAGAACAACTACAGAGAGTTGCAGAGTCACCGAACCAGCAGGGACCACGGTAGCCTTCAAGGCTGGGCCAGCACACGTGGAGGCAGCAAGAGATATTTCATTAAAAGGAGTCCACAGTACCTCCATCACGCTTGTCATAAGTCATAAAATAGCCCTAAAAACCCTTTTAACCAGCTTAAAACTTAAAGGCCAAAAGCTATATAAAACCTACAGTGTATCAAAAATTATATGGTGTCACAATTGAGGGGGGAAAGAAGGGGAAAAAAAAAAAAAAAAGGCAGGTGCAAAGGATGCCTTAAGTTCCTTCAATACCAGGAAATTTTATGGTAGCAATTCCTAGGTGGTTATGTTCACGGAATATGGAAAGGGGAGGCCAAAATAATTCTGAATGGATCCTCCTATTCTAGCTTTAATTCCCATTCCACATAAATTTGGGGAACATATTCAAGGCTTCTTGACTTCTGTGTTGTAGTTGAAATTTGTACAAAGTTTAAATCCCTGTTCTTTCAGTTCTGCATGTGTACAGCTTGTCAAGCTCTGCAGTTTGACTGACCGCTTCTCACTATAAGCAGCACAAAGTTAGCACCACTAGTAAGACCACTGCTATTCTACCAGCACTAAAATAAAGACAGAACGGCACAAATCTAATTTACTGCTCTTATTTACACAGATGCTTTATAATATGCATTTATCTTTGACAATTATAATGGATTAGTTATTTCACTTTTTCTTAAGTACCAGCTTAACAGTATGGTTACAAATAGCGTAGGTGACCTTTTAAATCCATACACAAAGAAAGAACCATCTTATCAAACTGTGACAATAGTATTTTTTCTTTGAACGAAGGATAGCACAAAATATTAAATACAACAAAGCAAAAATTCCAAGTTTGCGATTCTCCTAACCCTACATTTTTAGTCACAGGACTGAAGAGTCAGGTAAAGACCATTTAAAAAAAATTTCTACAGCTAATAAGGAGGACTTTGAATGGTTTTACAGTTCATCTTGAAATTACTCCTGCTGCGAGGTGATTCTTCGATTACTTTGTAATCTATATATTACGTTATAAATGAATATTTGAATATGGCTTAGATTCAAATTGATGTTTATATTAGAAAAAGAATAAAAAATAGCTACTGGCACCAAACAAGTCTTCCGAGCCTTTCTATTGACAATGGTAATAAATCTTAATTTTCATGCACTAACGCCATACTGCGGGCAATTTTCTAATAGGCTTTTTCTAATTAAAACAGATTAGAACAGACCATGTCACTGTTCTATTATAGCACCTGTGCATGCCTGTGTGTGTGCATGTGCGAGTAATAGCAGGCTTCTTGAAAGAATTCAAAATAAAAGAGCTCACGCCACAGACAGGCTAGAAGGAATCTGTTAGATTTGCTCTTCATACTCTTGCATCAGTGGGCTTGGGCAGAATTTTTGCTTGATGCTATGCTGTTGTGTATCCCCTTGGCAACTGGGATCTCTCAGGGCTTATCAGACCTATCCTCCTGCTTCCTTCAGTAAATGCCTAAAAACCCTCTGCGTTTAAGCTTTCAGTTTTCAACACTTAATTACAGAATACAGGGTTGGGAGGGACATCTAAAGCTTATGTAGTCCATCTGTCCATATACATGGTTAATTTATACAAATGTTACTTCTAACAGATATTTGTCTAACCTTTCCTTAAAAATCTCCAGTTGAAAGAGATCCTACAGTCCCTTCAGGCAACCCATCCCACATATTAGTACCTTATTGATGCCTAACTTAAGTCTCTTATGCTGCAATATATTTTTTTTTCCTTCCCACACTTGCTGAAAACTGAGAACAGAGTATTTCGTTCTTTCCTGCTGCAGTTTCTTACATATTTGAAGACTGCTAGAGATGCTAAGAGGCCTGGGCCCAGAGCATCTACTAGCTTGACTGGACCTGTCAGAGGACAACCATGGCTGAGATTTCACTCTTAACAGTGTGGAGGTCTGTCTACTGTAAGCCCAGAAATTCTGTTGCATGGGAGAAAGATTTATTCAGAGCTTATGGAAGACTGAGAAAGAAACTCCTGCAGGAACAAGGACTATAAAAAATGCTGCTATTTTCCATTTCATGAGCAAAATGCGTTTCCTTCACCTGCCTCATCTAGCTTAAACAATACCTACATTAAAACAAATCCACCAAAACACTGCATTTACTAAAACAAAGCATGGTATTTTTCATGCTGTTATACCCCTAGGTAGAGAGTGAGAAAAAGAGCAAAGGCCGCACAATGGGTATGTAGTACAGTACTATTCAGACTAGATTTTAATCTGAGAAGGACCCCATCTGTTTGTTTATTATTAAGAAAAAGGATAGTCTGT